GGGGGGGGGGGACATCTAATTTACAAGCAACAACTGAAGTCTTCTCCCTTAAAAGAAAGGGCCTGGCCACACCACTCACGAAAAGAAAGAAATGCGAGTGCATCTTCCTGAAAAAGGTGGGAAGATACATCCGTTACTATGCATTCATAGTAACGAATGAATCTTTCGACGGCCTTGCGTGAGATGCACTGCACTCGAATTTTTCTCTTTTAGCGAGTGGTGTGGCAATAATGCCCATTAACAAATGATAAACAAATAAATAAATCATTTTAGTAGATTAAAAAAAGACGAAAGAACTTTTTTTTCCCAGACATAGTAGTAGTATTACTAGTGGCAGTTGTGCTTCGCTTACCAAATTGCATTCGGCGCGCAATGGCTTCATAGTCTCATAGATAAATAATTTAATAAAATTTTGAATTTTTAAAATTAAAAAAAAAAAAAAAAAAAAAACATCCAACGAGATTTCTTTTTTTTTCTTTCAGACATCGCAGTAATAGTAGTAGCAGTTGTCCTTCGCTTACCAAATTGCATTCAGCGCGCAATGACTTCAGCGTCTTTTTCAATCCGTGCTTTTTAATGAACGCCTCAACGAGGCCAACAACTTCAGCAAACATGGTGGAGCCGCCTGCATCAGCCATCGCCGCCACCATAGCCAGACAGGATCCAGAAGCTTTTCCCTATTATGTATGTATTTATTTATTTACTCCCTGTAATTGCAAAACAAAAGAGGAAGGATCATCAAGCAGATACAGAACCAAAGTCAGCTTTTTTTAAATTAAAAAATATACATACATCGTCAAACAGAACTGCCCCGTAAACCGAAGGCATATATATTTTAATATAAATCGTCAAACAGAGAGCTTCCTACAGTAAGCCGTCGGCAGAGAGGGAGAAGGGGAGAAGAGGACAACAAACGAGGGAGGGGCTGCGACAAACTATTTCGTCGGAGTTTCACCTACTGACTCATCAGGAGGCTGAACCCTCATATATAGCCTGCTTTGATTTTCGTCCCAGGTACCTTGAGGGCAGTGGTTGGTGGTCCCCACCACCTCCTCAGAGAGGTATCAGTTGTCGGGCAGTCGTTGATGATGCTTAACCCCAACAACCGGGGTAAAGTTAAGCTGGATTATCACTTACAGTGTGTAATCCGTCAGTTGGGGGATTCGGCAGACCATATATGAGGGATCAGCCTCCTGATGAGTCAATCGGTGAAACTTCGACGAAACAGTTTGTCACAGCCCCTCCCTCGTTTGCTGTCCTCGTCTCCCTCCCTCTTCTCTGCCCCTACGCTTTATCGTAGGCAGCTCTCTGTTTGACGATATGAAGGAGCTGGGCGGGTGCTTTAAGGTGGGAATCGTCATCTGGGACCACCACCAACGGCAAAAAATAGAAAGACGATCCCGTTGGTGGTGGTCCCCACATTTCAGTTTGGACCAGCGAAGCATGCGTCATGATAAGGGGGGTGTCTATGCTGGTGATCACGAATCTGGTTTGTTAATCTGGGATTGCTTTTTTTTTTGCAGGCAAGAGTGTTAATTGATATCCTGGTTGGTCATTGGCCCGTCCTGTGGCCTGTGATGGTGAGGGGGGTGGGGGGGAGGGGGGGGGGGCTTGCATGTGGGACTTCTCATCTAGATCTGTTATGTTTGTTTCCCCCTGTTTTGTTATATTTGGCTGTTCCCTTCCTCTCTTCTTTGCCTCTTTACCTTTTGGTCTGTGTGCAAGTGGGTCGATATGACACAAGAGGTTCTTATTGAACAGGGGAAGTTGTAAGGAAGAAGATAAAAAAAATGAATCGATATCTTTCTTGTTTCCTTTTTTTTTTTTCGCTTTTGCGCTCTGATATCGTTGTGACGATTTATGTTATATTTTGTCACACTGTGAATCGGAGCGCAAAGGCGGAAAAAAGCAAAACAAGGAAAGGAAAGGAAAGGAAAAGAAGGAAGGAAAGCCCCACCTGTTATAATCAGTGTTGCTCCCGACCTGCTTGATTCTATTGAGACCAGTTAGGAAGAGGACCCCCCAACCCGGCAGATAGGACAGGCACGCTGAGGGTGGCGTGGATGTTCACAAGGATACCCAAGGAGAGCTGCGCCAGCACAGCATTCAGCAGGACGGCTAGCACGAACCATCCCATCCCATCAAAACAGTCTCCTGACAGAGGACATCATGATGTTGTCCACGTGTCAAAAAAAAAAACAGCAGGACGTTCATCACAGTGCGGCATCATGCAGTTCTGATAGCGTCCTTGGGCACAAAAGGGGGACAACGTATATCTGGGTGACAGGGATGTGTACAATGAGGAAATGTTGGGACACCCTTCGGTACAGACACCGGCAGTCGCAATAGATTGGTAATGGCTATGCCATGCATGACAGCCACAATTGTCTGCCTACCTGTCCTTCGGGACATCCGTTCAAATTGGAACGATACAGAGAAGATCAGCATGGCACCGCATCTCTGTCCTGGCAGGTGTCACACGAGAGTCGGTCAATAATCCAGAAATAAAGTACGGTTCGCCAGTGCATGCAAAAAAACGTTTTTACGTTGAAAATAGCCTGCCTGACTGACTCATCGCCCCACCATCCCACAGTTCCCACTGTGGCAGCTGCATGAATGAGTGCGACATATAATTAATGCCCGGGTATGTGCAAAATGCAGGCAGAAATATGAGGAGGATGGTCATTAAGGTCATCCATCGCCTGGCGTCGCATGATGATGCATAAGACGAAGGTGGAGACCGTGGAACGCTAACTGTAAGACATTTTTTACAGTGAATCCTCCTGATGAGGTAGAGTATAATTACTCCCTACCCTCAGGAGGTGGACCATTATGGTCATCCATACAACAATGCTGATTTTCAACAGCGTCAAGCTGATAAGCAATCCTTAAAAAAAAAAAAAAAAAAAAAACGTTGATAAGCAATCGTGACAAATTGGGATGTGCAGTGTAACAGTGATGCTCATAAGCCATCGAGGTAGGCAGACTTTTTTTTTTTTTTTTTTTGTTGCCATGCTAATCTTCTCTGTATCGTTCCAATTTTGACGGATGTCCCGAAGGACAGGTAGGCAGACATTTGTGGCTGCCAAATCACAAATCTTTGGTAGGGGTCTGATCGCAGATCCGAATCGGTCGGGGCGTAAATGACGAAGGCCGTCGACGTGGCAAAGCAGGCTGTCGGTAAGACAAAGAACCTGCCCACGTGGCAGATTAGCATCAAGACGACGTCGAGACGGAGGGAGGGGGACTGGGAGGAGGAGAGAATGAACGAGCCTGCCAGCGTGCCAATATGGACAAGAAGAAGAAGAAGAAGAAGAAGAAGAAAAAGGAGGAGGAGGAGGAGGGAGGAGATGACAAAGAAGAGGATGCATGCAAAGAGGGAGGAGAAGGAGAGGGAGAGGGAGAGGGAGAGGAAGGCAGAGGGGAAGGGGAAGGGGAACAGGAAGGGGAAGGGGGGAGAAGAAGGTGGCAAACAAAAATTAAAAATCGTCAAAGACGTGCTCGCCCACTCACTATTTTGTTTTTGTTTTTCCCACTTTTGACTTTTTGTTTTCGCTTTTTTTGCGGGGCGTAAAAAAGTATATATATTATTTTTTGAAACTTTTTTAACGAGTTTTGTATTATGTGAACTACACATCTGTAGATTTTCACGGCATTTGGCTGTGCCAAAAAAAAAAACAAAAAAAAAAAAACGCCAAAGATGGCGGTGTCGAAAACGTGCCCGCTCACTCAATAATTTTAATTATCATTTTCATTTTTTCTTATTTTTTTATTAGTTTTATTTTCTGTATTTTATTTTTATTGCAAATTTGGTAAGGAATTTGGATGTAATGCTCAGGCAAATCTTGTTTAATTTATTTCTCTTCATAACATATCTTCTTTTTTCTTTCTTCTTTTTTTTCTTTTTCTTTTTCTTTTTTTGGTCCGCGTTCGGCCCGAACGGCCGAACGCATCCCCAAGGTGTCCCGTTCGGGTTCTTTTTGAATTTTTCAATTTTTTTAAATTTTTTTTGGACCGCGTTCGGCCGTCCCCAAGGTGTCCCGTTCAGGTTCTTTTTTAACTTTTTTTTTTTGTTTTTTTTTTTTTAACGCATCCCCAAGGGGTCCCGTTCGGGTTCGGGCGTTCGGCCCGTCCCGTCCCGAACGCCGGTTACCATATAATAATATATTTATCCTTTTTATTGACGATATATAGATATTAAATACGCATCTCCTTTTTATTCTGAAGAGTGCCCCTTCCATTGGATCATACTCCGCACAAAGACGCATGTCCAAACCAGTACGCACCAATAGTAAACAATTCAATTATTACAACAAAAAAAAAATGAATTAAAAAATGGAGGCGCTATCTCGATCCAGATCGCGGCACTACCCCACTCCATATCGAACGCACTACCCCCCCCGATGAACCCGGTCCAAAAACAACGAATTAAACTTTTATATCTCTTTTCCTTTTTTTCTCTTTTTTAATATATATCTCCTTCTTCACGCCTGTGCACATTTCTTCACCTTCCGTCCTCCTCCTGATCTTCATTGCTCACCAACCCGAACGCACCAGATGTGCGGTTGAGGAAACTCAACTCGATTTCCGCACATTTCCTCAAACACGTCCAGATTCATGCGTTGAGGAAAAAAACTCAACGCTGCTAGTGGGATCTGGCCTCGGGGAGGAGGACAAGGCCCACGTGAGGAGTCCCAGGTGCCGTGATAGGATTTTTTTTTCCTGGCTGACAAGTGCCTGGGTGCCGTAATAGGATTTTTTTTTTTTTTTTTTTTTTTTTTTTTGTCGGAGCGCGCACGGAAAAAAAAGACAGTCTATGTATGTGGCCCTGATAGGAGGCTTCCTGATCATCCATCCCTGATCAGGAATACATCTGCAACCCACCAAATAACAAGTACCTGGGTACCCTAATAGGAATTTCTTTTGTCGAAGCGCACCCGAAAAACGACAAAACAGTCTAGCTAGCCTTCAAGCCTGGTCTGCTTCGAACTTAGTGTCAAATGACCTGATTTTTTTTAATTTTTTTATTTTTAATTTTAAATCTTTATTTTACTATTCTATTATTTTATTATTTTATAGTTTTTTTATTTTTTATTTTATGACCTGAATTGATCTCGCCCTGAAGGCTATACGCGAAACTGGCTAATGCTGCCAAGCGAAATTTATGACCTGAGTTGATTTGTGAGGTCCCCGGCCTCTCTTGATTGACTGTCAAAAATTCAATGGTTTAGGGGGGGAGGGGGGGGGGGGGGAAGGGAGGAGGGGAGGGGGGAGGGGGAGGGGAGGAAGACAGTCCATGTATGTGGCCCTGATAGGAGGCTTCCTGATCATCCTGATCAGGAATGCATCTGCAACCCACCAAATAACAAGTGGCTGGGTGCCATAATAGGAATTTTTTTTGGCCGAAGCGAGGACGAAGAAAGACAGTATGTATGGCCCTGATAGCAATGATAGATAGGAGGCTTCCTGATGACCCCTGATGACCCCTGATGACCCCTGATGACCCCTGATGAGTGCCACAGAAGCCACCAAATGACAAGTAGTGGGTGGGTCGTACGTAATAGGCTAGGTGCCAGGTGCGGGCTTCCTGGCTGAGGGCCCAAGTAGTTGCACTACTCGCCATCCCCCCAAACAGTTTGAATGCATCTGGACAAATATGTTTTGGCGAATGGCGAGTAGTGCAACTACTTAGGCCCTGAAACGTACGTACAGGGGGGAAGGAGCGCGCGCGCGCGCGCGTTTCTTCTGACAGCTCAGCAGTGTGCATGCGGATGTAATAATTATTAAATATATGGACGATTTTTTATTTTTATTTCGGGTCGAAGCGTGCAAGAAAAAAGACGGTCTATGGCCTCTCTGATTATTTTTCGCTATTCGTCTTCCATGTATCCATTTGATCGCATGCTTATCCATTTTCCCTTTTTTTTTTTTTTTTTAATACATTTTCCTTATCCATTTCCTTATCCATTCCATTTACCCCTTTGCGCATGTATTTCTCTATTTAGTATTACATTATGGATTCTCTCTGTCCAATACATTTCCAGTACATTGAAAATTTAAAATCATTTTTTTATACATAGTTCCTGGCAGCAATTC